AGATTTTCCCAAATTTATTTTCAATCCAAATACGGCTTCAAAGCACATGAGTAAACGACGCAAGTTCCTGAATTGTTCAACATCTGCATCACGAAAAATCAGTGTGTCATCTGCAAATAGCAAATGAGAACCTCCAACTGCTCAACAACAAAGCCCCTTAACAAACTTTACCACACGACCTTCTCAAGCATCCTACTGAAAGCTTCCATTACAATGACAAACAACAATGGAGACAAGAGATCTTGAGTGAATGCATTCATCTGCTATAAGTACGGAATCCAAAATTTAGCGCCCTTTGACGAAGGCATTTGGAAATTTAGACACCACTTTCTCCAGCACCTCCTTTAATCTATTCGCCAAAATCTTCGCAATAATCTTGTGTACCCTACTCACTAAGCTAATAGGACGAAAGTCCTTAATATTCGTAGCTCCCGATTTCTTAGGAATTAGCACAATAAATGTAGCATTGGTGCTTCTTAAGAATCTTCTACATTTAAAGAAATAAATAAGGACATCCATAATGTCTGATCGCACCACTTCCCAACAGGCCTTATAGAATGAGAGAATCTATCGGGTCCCGAGGGCCTTATCGTTATTCATGCTGAACACCACCTCCTTAATTTCATCCTCCTCAAATTGTCTCATAAACCAATTAGCATCCTCCTCATTAATAGTAGAAAAGTCTAGCCCCTCTAATTCTAGCCTTCAGTCCAACTGCTCACGATAAAGAGTCTGATAAAAGCTTATCATATAGGTCTCAATATCCCGTGCATCCTCATAAGTAACCCCATCTACCTCTAACATAGCTATAGAATTGTTGCGCCTATTAGAATTAGCTATCTTGTGGAAAAATTGGGTACATCTGTCCCCCTTTTCAACCACTTGATCCTAGATTTTTTACGCCAAGCAATCTCTTCCATCTCCACCAACCTCTCCAACTCTTCCCCTAATTCTCCACGCCTCGCCCTATCACCCCCCAGCAGTTCTTGACTTTCCTCCCTGCCATCCAACTCTTCTATATCTGATGGGCATTGATTTTTGCGATAGGTAACATCTCCCACCACCTCCTCATTCCACCTCTTAAGGTCCTTTTTCAAGGCCTTCAATTTCCGATCTAACACATAACTAGGAGACCCCCTGAAGTCATATGATGCCTAACAATTCCGTACTCATTCCCCAAAACCTTCTACTTTTAGCCACATCATCTCCAACCTAAAAGACCTTCCACTGCGCCTTGCATTCCCATATAACGAAATGGGGAAATGATCTGAATACAACCTCCCCAATCTCCTCTGCATGACCTCTGGGTACTTAACCTCCCGCTCCCTACGTACCAAAAACCGATCTATTCGGGATAGGACAGGTTGGTCTCGGTTAGA